AAAAACTAATTTACTATCCATCAACCCGTCAAACCAATGGCCCCACCTCAAAACCAATGGGTTTTTACTAGTATAAAGTATTCATAATGTTATGATTATACCGTACTGAATTTTGGGGATCAAACAAAATCAGCGCATATGAAGAACGTGCCAAGTTCAATATAAATGTCTTCTCAAAACCAAATGGAATATGATTGTTTTTCTTTTATAGTAAATATATAATTTAGTAGGTGTACTGTAATTTTGTCAAGTATTTATCAAAATTAATGAATTCGAAATAAACAAATGATTACAAATATTTGAAATAATTACAAATATCCAAAATATTTGGATTTACGAATAGAGTAATAAAAAGGGGTGTAAGATTACGGTTAGGAACCCTAATTAATTGTTTGTTGTCCCATTAAATTGTTAATAAACAAATATTTCTATTTAAATAAAATAAGCTTCAAAATTTTTGATGAATGATATTTTAAGTGTGTGATTTGTGATCAGATGACTTTGTCAAATAAATCAAACAAATTGTTTTATTTTTTCTATGGACAGTACTTGGTCATATAATTTAATTTTTTTTTGGATAAACATTTCTATTATACAGTTGTTTACAGAGGATGAACGGGATACATAAGAAAATTTTATTTAAAATCGATTGTGATAAGATTACTAATCTATATGTGAAAGCAAAAATTCAAAAATTCGTTATTATAGTCCACTGTGACAAGGTTTGAGTTTACTAAAAAGAAAGACTAATAAACTATATACATTATAGAGAAAATAATTTTGTGTAGATAAATTCTGGCTAATGTTATGCAATTTGGTAATTGTTTCATATTCCATTGTGTATGCAAAGAAAAACGAAATGATAAAGGAATTAATGGAAGAGAGTGTAAGATTATTGAAAAGAAAAAGGATATTAAATCTAGATATATACGTAGTGCGTGAAGATGTTAATTATATTATTGTTGTCGTTGCCATTATTAGTATTATTATTGTAGTTGGGTGGATATCGTTCAATTACAGGAAATGCATTATAGAAATTATTATTATTACACAAAAATTTTTTTAATTGAAAGTCACTTTGAATGTCGTTGTATCCATTGGTTATCCGGTTAAACATTACTTTTCAACACCCGGTTAACCGGATATCATTCGGCGGATACAACCACTATCAATTTGAAATTTTGAGTATTTTTACAAATTGTAGCTAGATGATTAGCCACAAATGAGCTTTAACACATAGCTATGTAAAATCTTCATGCAATATTCCAGGAAAGAAGTTCAAAAAAAGTACCTCTGATTAGTTATTAACACTTCTTCTTTAGGAGAACCACGTTTTATCATCTTGGACCTGTCAAAAAAAAAATCAATTCGCGTCTGACCAAAAAAAAAATTCTTGTACAACACCAAATGCCAATAATGGTTTTTTTCAAACGGTATTTTTTTTATATATATATTTAAAAAATGAATAAATCGAATGAAAAACGAAGAAACAAAGAGAAAAACAACAATATGAAGTTAAAAAAAGTGAATAAGTGTTTATTATAAGAATGGTGGTTATTGCCACTCGTCATCACTCTAGTTGTTAAGAAAAATGGTCAAGCCTGGTTATATTTGAGATCTAAAACCTTGACTTTCTTGTACTTGCATAGTAAATCATCATCAAATAAAGAAAATATCAAAGAAAATAAAATTGATAAAAATGTACATTAGTATCAATTTATTTAATTTATTTTAAATAAAGTAATAGTTAGAGATTGATCC